TCCCTTCAGTCGACCTATTTACCTTCTTTTAGTTGGCATTTCTTCTTGGATGGATTGATCATACGATTTTGCCAGAAAATTCTGTTTCATTCATTCTCCATTCAAAATTATCTACTCTAAAGGAAAATATGTTTGTTAGCAGAAACAATTAGAGGGTTGATTAACTGAAGAAGGAAGTACTTGAAGTTTGTTCTGTTACCTTATTAACAAAGTAGATGAATCACTCTTTTTCTTTATTGGAAAAAGTGGACTTCTTTTTCACAGCCCTCCCCTATTAAGGTAGGTAATTGCTAGGGATAACCCGCTCTATAGAACAAATAGGTGCTCAAAGACACGAGTTTGGTAAAGCATTCAACTTTCGGTTGTACATCAACCTGTGAGGAAACTCAAAAATTGTACTCATTGGGCTAGGGTGAATATTGCTGACCAGCGGATCTAATGGTCGACATCGTGGCAACAACTAGAAATATTTGTTGAAATAAAGAGATTGAAGAGGCTGGCTGCCCTACCTAAACCAATCATCATATTGGTCCTTTTAGCGAAGCCAAGTAAATTTCAGGCCACCAAACTTGTCAAAACCGATCGGAGTATTTCATAGTCCAGAATCTAAATAATTTGGGAGTGAAAAAGGAGAATTTACCTGCCATTGGACTACGAACCTGAATAATCCTGATTTTTGATCAAATTTTCACGTCCGTGCTCGGCAGTTTAAGCCTTGATCCAGCAACAGTGAGAAACGTCTATTCTTTCATTTTGATTTATTCACTGATCTGAAACTTTCGCCACGCCGCCAAAATCCCGATGAAAAGTGGCAAGACAATTGTATTTGAGTTATTAAATAAAGACACCTCTCCTGGAATTGTCCAAGTTTGGGGAATCCCCTGATAATTCTTTACTTGAAAGAGCTTATTTGCACAAAAAGCCCCTATGTGGTTTATCAAAGGAAAACTAAAATGTGTAGCCACAAATTGATATCTTTAAGGAGGCAATATGGTTTTCAAAAGGGATTTAACATTAATTTCATTGGCAATGCTAGAGGCTTAAGTATTTGGTGGGAG